CAAGCCGACATCGGCGGTCGACCTGGGAGCCGTCACGCTGCAGGGTGATTGCATGCCACCATCGGCACTCAACGTCGCCATCTTACCGCGCTTCGCTGCGGGCGAGAAGGCGAAGAAGCCGCGGGTGGCGCCGCGCTGGCAGGTCCCCAGTTCCTCCGACGACGGCAACGTGAAGCAGAGCGCCGCCGAGGTGGTCTTGACGGACAACGCTGGCACGCACAAGCTGAACGCGCCGTGCGCGGTGAACACCAAGGGGGCGAAGCCAGGCGCGGCGACGACGACAACGACAACGACAAAGCGGTTTGCGTAGCCTCCCAGGCGACCAGCTCAAGCTGCAGGCGCCGCCGCAGAGGGGGCGGAAGCGCAAGGTGCAGTGATAGCTGCGCGGTAGAGTCTGCCGACCGCGCGTCGGGGGACATTTCAGCCGACTGGGCGTCGGCTGGCATATGAACCCATCGATGCTTGTCGACGGCGTGTCGGCCGCGCGCGCCGATAATCAGTTGCGCGCGCCGGGTCGCTGCAGGCGCCCGATGGGCCGCAGCCCGCGCGGGGAGGGGGGGGGCGGCGGATCGGATGAGGGAGGGGGTGGCAGAGGAATGCGACAGAGTAGTATATGCGACGAGGATGACGATGTCGAGAGGGATGACGGGACGGGAAACGAGGGTGGTGAGGGGCAGGGAGTATCATAACATGTCGGGCGTTAGCCAGAATTTGCTTCTCGCGAGGTAACTGACTGACGGGCGGGGGCGCAACCGATGGCACAACCAATAGGAGCCATACTGATCCAACTATGTCATCGGCGGCAGAGGGCGCAGCCAGTGGCAAATCCACTGGGTGCAACTTATATCCTCGGCGAACGACTGCACAATCTACTATGTGCCAGATATGCATTCGGCGGCCGAGGGTGCAGCCAATGGCGCAACCAATGGGAAACAGTTATGTCATCGGTTGTCGAGGGCGCAACCTATGGCACAACCAGGAGCTATATAGTCATGCCCTCGGCGGCCGAGCGTGCAACCTATTGCGCGACGCAGACGGGGCGCAGAGTGGCTGGGCATCAAATTGCGCGCGGGATTCGCCCGACGTATGCTCGTCGTTTGGGCTGCAGCCCACGCGGCGAGCTGTCGTGTGACTTGGCGCATGCGCATCCGCCGCGTCGCCGCTTAGCCTCTGTGGTACAGGTGTGGCGGCGGTCTAGGGGTTGTAAAGACCGCGGTGTGCACGCGGTGATAATGAGGTGGTCGTCGACGACGCTGCCTTTGGCGAGGTGGATGTCCATCGAAAAGTCGACACCCGTGCTGCCGCGCGCCCGTCTGCCCGCTCGGGGTCACATAGTCTCTCTTTATTTATCTCTCTCTCTCTATCTCTCTCTCTCTCTCTCTCTCTCTCTCTCTCTCTCTCTCTCTCTCTCTCTCTAAATATATATAGATGCCGCGACCGACGCGTCTGCTACGGCCGACGCGCGCGCGGGGTAGGTCGGTCGGGGTGGGGTTAGTGTGTCATTGCATGCAGTGGCCTACGCGGTGCGCAGGGCGGCTTCTACTAAGTTTGCATTGTCCGATGCGTGGGCACCAAGACATTCCCACTGGAGGTTAGTGGGGCAGCGCAGCGCGGTGGCCCGGAAGATGGTGGACTCGCGGAAGCGCAAGCGCAGGCGGGCGAGCCTGCAGGCGGCTGCGCCGCGGGGGGGCGACATCTGCACCTCCGGCGCCCGCAAGATGCGCAAGCTTCTCAAGGATATGGGTGCTCGGTGTTAGCATGTGTTACCCAGCTGCAGCTGCCCCCCCCCCCCCTCCAGAAGGACTACAAGGCCATGGTGGGTGCGGGCACCTTCCCCCCCATCGTGGAGGTCGCCTGCGGTGGCGGAGTCGCCAGGGTGCTGCAGAACGTCGACGAGCGGCGATCCCTGTTCGTCGAGCTGGAGCCCGACGCCCTCGCCTGCCTCCGCGCCCAGGCCGCGCAGGAGAGATAGTCTTGTTGGATGGTGCCCAGCTGCAGCTGGGCACGTGTAGTTGTTTGTGCGTTGGTGTGGTTAGGTTGTGCATGCTCTCCAGCTGCAGCTGGACCCCCCAAGGACCTCGCGGGCGCCGGCGACGGCGCCGAGGACGGAGCCGAGGACGGCGCCGAGGACGGCGCCGGGGACGGCGCCGATGTCATCGCGTCGCCGGCCGAGGACAACAACGATGGCAGCGCATCGCTCGCGGGATCGGACGCCCAGGACGACGACGACGTCGCCGATGACGGCGCCGAGGGCGGTGACGCGGGCGCCGAGGGCGGCGCCCAGGGCGGTGCCGAGGACGGCGCCCAGGACGGCGACGATGGCGGTGCATCTGCGGCGGCGGCGCTCCCCAGGGCGGTCGGCGCCCACTGGCTCCGCAAGAGGGGCACGCACGTCGCAAAGCGACGGGCGGGCGAGGGCGGCTGGACCTACAAGTGGTTCAAGCCTGAATGCGCGGGGCACGCCGCGATCCGCGCCGCGCGCGCCCGCGCGCGCGCGTGGCAGGTGGAGGGCGCACGTGGCCATGCAGCAGCGGCTGCAGCCGCGGCCGCGGGTGCTTAGGCGTAGGATAGGTGCATGCATGGGGGGGTGGGGCGCAGCTGCGCTGCGCGCGTGGTAAACAACGCAGGGCGACGGACGACGACGACGCGGGGCAACAGCAGCGATGCAGCATACGGTGGGCCAGTGAGGGGCGATGTCAGTGCGTCGAGGATCGTGAATGGGACGAGGCGCGAGGCACATGATGTGGATGGGCAGTGATGTGAATCGCCCTCCCCCCCTCATCCCTCCAATGTGGGTTCGTCGTCAGTCGTTCCATTCGGATGATTGCATATCGTCCGTGGTTCGTCGCCGTCGCGCGCGTCGCCCGTCGGATGTCGGCTGCAGACGACGTCGCATGCATCGCGAGCGTCAGCTGCAGCTGTCGCGCCCAGGTCAGCGGAGGGCAGGCCCGCGTTGCGTCGGGCGGGCGGGCGGGCCCGTGATGAGCGACGGCGTCGTCGGCATTGCGGAGCTGCAGGGCATGCTGACGACGGCGATGCAGTACCACGTGCCGCAGCAGCCACAGCCGCGGCGCGAGCCGCAGCGGGAGGCCGTCAACCCGCAGGAGGGCGGGCAGTGGCACGAGTCGCAGTTGCTGCAACAGCATCCGCTGCGGGAGCAGTGGCGCGAGCTGCAGCGCGAGCAGTTGCGCGGGCAGCAGCAGCAGGAGCAGCTGATGCGTGAGCAGCTGATTCAGCAGCAGTGGCACGAGCAGCAGCTGCTGCAGCAGCAACAGTAGCAGCAGTGGCCGTACACGCAGCAGCACTGGCAGGCACTGCTGGCGACCGCCGTGCAGCAGCATCAGCTGCTGCAGCAGCATCAGCAGCGCCAGCAGCAAGTCGCAGATGCTGCCGCCGCCTCAGCCGAAGCCGCCGCAGCCGCAGCTGCCGAAGCAGCAGCCGTCCACATCTTCAGCACGCTGCAGCACCGTCAGCTTCATGTACAGCAGCAGCAGCAGCTGCCGCCGCGGAAGTAGAAGCGCGCCGGCGGGGCGCCTCGGCCAGGGATCTGGAAGACCACCACGGTCCAGCCAGCTGACCGAGGCGATCGTGATGCGCCGCGACCCCGATACCATCCGCGCGATGGCACGCGATCGCCTCGCGATTGAACTAGGGGACTGGGTATAGTCCTAGACCGCTGCAGCGGCGTAGGGGGGGTGAGATGGATAGGCATGGGGTGTGGGTGGGTATGAGCGTGGCGCAGCGGCATCATTCAGGGCTAGGCGCATCTTAGTTGTCTTGTGGATCATATTACCACATGGTGCAGAACAGTCAGCATACACATGGTGCAGGACAGCCAGCAGACTTCTAAGGTGCGCCGACACCCTGAGTCCTTAATTTTCTGTGCGGTCGGGGAGTTCCCAGGCTCGTGACCGCGTTCCGTCAGAAAGGTGCGCGCAGTCTGGCGAGTAGGTTCGCGCTGGCGCCGGCTGCAGCCCGAGCCCAGTTATTGAATTTTGCGGGCGGGGCGCCACCAATTGCGTAATACAGTTGAGCCATGCATATCCTCGGCGGCCGGTGGCGCAGCCTATGGCGTAGCCATAATAGGAGCAACATCATCGTTGGCCGATTGTTTTTGGTTTTTCCCCACCCGCCGTGCGTTATGATTGATTTCGTTTTTTTGGAGGGCGACGAGGGAACGAGGGAGACGAGGAGGATGACGAGGCCAAGGGGGAAGCAACTCATCGTTCGCCGATTGTGTGTTGGAGCCAGTTATATCCTCGGCTGCCGAGTGTGCAACCCACTGCGCGCCCAATAGGAGCCAATTGTATATTCGGCGGCCGAGCGCGCAATATGAGCCAGCTACACCCTACGCGGCCGAGGGCGCAACCTATGGCACAACCCATGCGGCTGAGGGCGCACCCAACCAAGGCTGGTTATACAATCGGCGACCACGGGTGCAACCTACGGCGCAATCATCGGGGACCGAGGGCGCAATATGGGCCAGGTGTGTTATCGGCGGCCGAGGGCGCAGCACATGACATAACCCGCAGGAGCCAATCGGAGCCATTCATATCAGCGGGTGGCGCAGCAAATAGGAGGCCGTCGTAATCTCGGCAGCCGAGCCCGCGCCCTAGCGGCGAGCTGGTTTGTGATTACATGGAATTTGTGCATCTGTGCCTCGCCCAGAGCACCCTGGGGAATCCCGAGTCGCCCCGACCGTCTGAGGGAAGCGCGAGCCCGACGGCGGCGACGGCGACGGCCTCGTCGTCGCCGTCGTCGTCGTCGTCGGCGTCGTCGACGGCGGCTGCGTCGTCGTCGTCGTCGTCGCCCCGCCGACGCCACTGTTGCGCGAGCTGCATCCCGCGCCCGCCGCCCACCGCCGCGCCGCCGCTGCCCGCGCCCGCCGCCATGACGGCGCTGCCGCACGCGATGTTCTTGACGCCGCAGAACGCGGACCCGCTGGTTGGGGCCGTGGTCCCGCTGGCGGAGCCGCTGATTGCGGCAGGTGGCCAGCGCGG